GCTGAACACATTTCATTAGAAACTATCAAAAGCGTCGATGAATTTGACCTTAACGAAGGTGAATATGAAGGAATACAACAACAGCAAAATATACAAAATGGACTGTATGAAAGTTTTATGATTCCAAAAAATTCTTCTAGTCTTTATTATAAAAATCAGACGAATTTTATTGATAATAATAAGAATATTTTATACAAATCCAAAATAAACATAGTAAAACTTAAAGAAGTTCGTATTTTAAAGATAAATGAACGTAAAAAATTTTCTGAATTCATGATCGAAAATTTGAAATCTGATTCACAAATACTTTTAATTAAAGTTAATCTGAGACAACCAATGTTTCAAAACATGTACAAACCAATTCCTTACGCAAATCATATAAGGAACGAAGCCTTGAAAATTGTTAATCAGCTTGAATCGTCATATATTGCAATACATTGGAGAATGGAAAAAGCATTGCCAGAAAATATGCCAAATTGTGCCAGAGATTTGGTTAAAGAAATACAAAGAATAAGAAGATACACCGGAATAAAAAATGTTTATTTGGCAACTGATTTTCCCATATCTTGCAACAAGAATGGTAGTATAATTATAAATTCTGGTGAAAAAGCACAATCTGGCACTTTTCACAAAATTACATTACATCACATTAAAGCAATGAAGATACTAATTTCCGCAATAAAAGACATCAAAACTTGGAAATCTTTAAATGGTTTTGGATATTTAGAATACATTGGAAAAGAAAAAGAGAACAAAGGAAATACCTTAGTTAACGAATTAAAAGGTTCAGGTGTACAAGGAATATTAGATAAATTGGTTTGTATAAATTCAAGTTACTTCTTGAGTGGACCAAAAGGTTGTTGTAGAGTAAAATCTTCTTATACAAAACAAATTGCAGAGTCAAGAAAACAATTGTTGCGTGAAGGAAATAAAAATATATTAAATATTATCACAAGATGGAAAAAACAATAATTAGTAATTATTTTTTGGTTAATAAATTGTATAGAATCATTATTATTTCTCGTCCTTCCTCTTTATGATTTCTTCTAGAAATACACAAGTTATTATTTCTAATAGTACATATGTAAACTCGATAATAGTAAATTGGTCATGTCGGGCGGACCCCTGTGACTGTGTTATCGAATTTCACGTGATTTTTTAAATTTAAAATTTTTTTTATATTTACTTAACATTTACTCAAACATTAGAAGGTTGCAAAATCAACCTTTTTATACATATTTCTGAACATAATAAAATTTAATAGGAATACAAATGTATTTCTTCACATGATATAATCATGATACAAGTAATATAAAAATGTGAGATTTATTGTTCACAATTAGACAAGAATGTTCTCAAAATTATTGAATGATACAATTAACGATAAGATAGTAAAATATTAATGCATTATTCATGATAAATAAATGATACAATCGACGATACAACTGCAGAGATAATAAAATATCGATGCATTATTCATGATAAATCATCAAATGATTAAAGCGAAAAAAGTTCTCTTTTTAGAATTACTTGAGAAGGAAAAATGGTAAAGAATGTGTGATTATGCATTGTAACTGATGGAAGTAATAAAATATAAATGTAGTTCACAAGCGAGAACCCTCTTTTCCTTCTAAATTATAAAAAATGAATAAAGATAGTTCTTTTACATCAGATATTTTATTACAAATAAGTGATGAATAAAAAATTATTAAATCATACACATTACTAAATAGTAATGATGACCTTCACATAATGAAATATCACGCGAGACTGATCTATCATGATTAATTTAATTATGCTTGGGTCAGTGTTGTTAATTTCCGGTTTCCAGAAAGATTTTTTTGGATATTTATGAAACCAAATTTAATTGGAAAACTTTTAATAAAAATTTAACAAAAAATGTCTCGTGGAAAGCCACCTCATGTTTTTAATGAATTTGTTAATGTTAATAAAGATGTTTTGATAAATAAAAGCAATTCTTTGGCAATATGCAAGGGATGCATAGTTAGGAAAGGGATTTAGTGAAGCCGTTAGAAGTAAAATTTCTAACACTGTTCCTTCCATTGGAAAACATCTTTTATCTTGTACAATTTCAAAGCTATAGAATTGAATTTGTTAATATACAACTTGAAATAATAAAAGATAAAAGAAATATTGGTAGAACAAGTCAAGGTATAATAACATTTATATTTAATTTTCAAATATTGTATCATAATAATAATAATTTAATAAATCACTATAACACTATTTTTAATAATAATTCATAAAATGAAGTCATTCAAATACACCCAGTAACTCTATTATCCCGAACAAAAGAAAGGACAGTAATAATCACTTGCTGACAATGAAAGATTGAAACTTTATTTAGGCCAAATTTAAATTCGCTTGCTGATAGTTCCCTAATTTAAATTAAATTTGGTTTTGTTTAAAAATCTTGTGGGTGTTTTTTTAATAAAAATAATAAATATTCGATTCATTTTAAACCATTTGTGTTCCAACTTTAGTTACTGTTCCTTAATAAGGTTTCTGGAAAACTGGAACGCATGTTCCAATTTCCAGTTTCCAAAATTTAACACTGGCTTGGGCTAAGTGATTGATTGACTTGGCACTTATTGCGACTTTATATATATTGACTGACTTATCAAATTTTTTTTAAATAGTAAAAAAAAGAGGTGAAACGTTTTGGCCGGGTTCAGCCAAACTGACTTATCGAGTTTACATATATATGTACAGAGAACAAGTAAATTCATTTTCAATTTGAAATAATTCTTTCTATAAAGTTTTAAACAATTTCTAAATGAAAAATTAAACATACAAACTAAATGAATCAAAAACCTACATCTTTGATTGATGACCACTTGCAACTTTTTCACCATTTGGATTATTATTTTTCTCTCAAAATATTAATCACTTCTTTCTTCTTCTGATTTCAACTTCAAATACTTATATCACCATCATTTATTGATCTTTCACATATTAATATATCATTATTAGTTGTAAATTAAATTACATGTTTTGCAAGTGATCTTTTTACTTTTCATCGTTGCTTTATCTTTTTGATATTTGCAGTGGCTCGTTTAACGACATTCTCTTCTTCTTCATTCTCTTTATCATTTCCCCTTCTCATCTTCTTGTTATACTAAGTATCCTATTCTAATATCTATTTCGATATTAATAAGTTAAAGAGAACAGGCATGTGGCTGATATAAAGCTTCAAATGAGTCAATTCGGGTCGAGTTTATACTCGGATTGAGCTTGACTCGAGCCAACTTGAAATTTAATATTTAATATATTTTTTTTAAAAAAGATCAAGTTTTGAACGTTTTGAACTTGAAATAAATATTAATCCTATTGTTTTCTCTTCCTCTCTTTATACTAATACAATACATTGCAAAAAAATCACAGATCACAATTTTAAGGTTTGTACAAATAAAACTTGTAAAATTGCAAAATTTGAATTAAACTTTGTATATATAACTTTTGATAACTTTTGTTAATAAATTTTTACTGAAAAGGTAGCGTAAAGTTCAACATAAGTTGCAAATTCTATAAGTAAAGTTACGAAATCTTGTTCTCTACTATATGTTTTGTTGAATTAATGAATAGGCTTTAAGCTATCTTTAACTGTTATCGGTTAATATAAAAGGTGCTTTAAATTTTATTGAAAATGCAAAGGTGCACTAATAATATTTATTTTTATATATTATATATATATATATATATATATATATTATTTCTATAGTAATAAATAGAACCGAAGACACACTTTGAACGAATCATATACATTGCATGATTTTTCCTCATGCATGGAAGTGCAAATAGCAATCAATACCTGTTTTTTCAAGAATTGGCATATGATGTCGCTTCTAGAATAATATACATGTAAACAATTGCGATGATAGACACCAGAATAACTCTTTGAGAAAGGTTCTTTGAGATGAATGCCTACCCAACGAGTCATGCATATATATTCTCGCTTGGTCAAATTATGCTGAGAGCATCATTTTTTTTTCTGATCCAAGGTTTGGAACTCCAATGTAAACCATAATCATATGATTTTCACGTCTTTGTATCTTTGTGCCTGCCAAAGAGTTATTTTTGCTATTTTTATAATGTATTATTAAAATTATGACTTATTTAATGACTTATACAGATTTATAAAAGTTTATAGTACGTAGTAAGTACATGCGACTTATATATCAAGTATAATATACACATTTCAATTTTTGTACAAATTTGATGTATTTTGTAAAATTATTATGAAATTTAATATGAAGAAAAATCAAATATATGAGGTCTGTTCAATAGAAACGAGGAATGTTACCCAAAAGTCAATTTTAGTTAATAACATTTATATGTATAATTCATTACAAGGAACATTTTAAGCTTTAGAAACAATGCCCACTTAATAAAATTTGAAATACTTTCCATTAAAGTTTTAAAAAACAATAGTAAATGGGGCACAGACAATAGAAATGAGAATAACTACAAGCATTGTGATTTTGAGTTAATAACGCTTCTATATACAATGATTGATTTTAGCTTAGAAGCTTTACATAAATTTCAAGATATTTTCTATAAAAATAGCAAAATGTAGTGCAGATCTTTTTTGATGATTTTTTTCAACATTCCTCGTTTCTATTGAACAGGGTTGGATTTGGGGCACCTTGTTAGAGTGATCCCGATGTTCAAATATCAATTTCAGATCAAGCCAAGTTGACTTGATGGTCACATGAAATTTATGTTATCATCTTGATTCCTTTTGTATATGACAAACAATTAATATATATATAATAGAATTATCCCTTGCATCAGCCCGATATTGATAGGTATCAATATATTCTGTACTATTTCACAAAGATAAACAAGGAAACACTCCAAAAAACCAATAGTTATTGTCAAGCAACAATAATATGTTTCTTTCTTTTATTAATATAAAATCAATACAGTAATTGCTAACACTTGTGATTTTGTTGTAATGATATAAAAAAAAATTTTTTTCAATCCCCTAATAGTGATCTGAGAAATCGTATTTTTTTATTAGAGCTTTTGTTTTCTTTCGCTAAATAATCAACGTACATCAATAATTTTTGAAGGTTGAATTCCCATTCATATTCATGATTTTGCACCAAGAATTTTTCATGATCTAAATCTATAATATATATCCATTCAATCCAACCATCAACCGTTGGAACTTCCTCATTTGGAAATTGTCTAAGGGGTAAATAACCTAAAGATAAAGCCTTTTTTAGGTGAAGTCCATACATGCAAAAAATTCTCCCTAGCAAGAAGTCCCATTTTTCTCTTAAAGAATCATACGTCTTACATAGCCAGGTGTAAAATGCTCCAGAGCTACGCCTAATAATGGCTTCAAGATTTCCTATCTCATTATTTTTTATATACGCAGAAGAATTATTTAACCAAGATTCAAAATAAGACTCATCTTGTATGATGAATGTTCGAAAATTATCTACAATTTCTTGTGTGAGCTCTGGATATTTTCCATTGCATACAATAATATTATGTACCAATCTTTCACGTAATTCTTGCAAACTAAGTCCTAGAAGTTGTCTAAGAAGAGTTTCTCCTAACCCATCAGGATATGAATCCGAATTATTATATATTATGTAATATATTCCTTTATACAAGAAACAATAAAGACCTCGAGTTCCCATAATTTGTATGATGTGTTTGAGGGCAAAGTTCTGTTACACAGTACAACATATTAAGACGTGTCGATCATTTGAAACAAAAGTCAACGCCTTTAATACATTTAATATAACAACAAATATAATTTATTTAGATATATGACCATTTGTTATTACAATTTGTCATTATAAAATTGCATTTATATCCTTTAGAAAAATACAGCCAAGAATTGTAGTTGTCCAAGTTTAATGATATTTTTTTAATAGTTCACTAATTTATTACTTTTTCCATGATCTATATCTTACTATTTCAGGATAAGTGCTTTTTTATATAATCACAAATCAATAATTTTACGTTTTACATAAATATTTGATATGACCAAGCTTTCACAGAGCCAACAAGTTAATGAGTGGTATTTTCAACCTCCAACCATAAATTACCAATCTAACTGTGAATTTAGAAATTAATAATACATTAAATATATAAAATATATATAGATAATGGAAGCCTGCATGAATAATTACTTGAATATCAAACCATTCCAAAAAAACGTTCATTACTGAATTATTTGCTGGTATAAAGAGTTTGTAATCGATATTAAAAGCTAAAATGATTCATGCCAAAGTAGTCACATTCCTATTTATTACTGTAAGAATTACTTTTCTTAACGAAAATAAAGTCAATATTTTAACACGTTTTATCGAACAGGTACTTTAATTATTGTAAAAATACAAGTTATCTTTATTATCTTAAAAATGATGTCCTTTATATAATAAAATTACATAGATTGATATGATATAAATAAATATAAATAATAATAAAAGATTGATAAAATATAAATAAAATAATCATAATAATTCTTATCAATCTATCCGGAAGATTTGTGGACATAGATAAGTAATAAATAATAAATAATAACTAAAGACACGAAATAATTGATGATACAAATAATAATTAATTATGTGTCACGTTTCCAAAATGTAAATATTAATGTACTACATAAGACGTTGTATATGATTACGAAGTAAATTGTTACAATTACATACATATATATAATATAAAACTGAAATATTATTAGTACAACTTTGTTTTCTTATAAAATTCTAGTTTTTTTTATAAATAATAATCTTCCTACTCGTCATAATTATGTAATGGTGATTTCTCCAATAGTTCAAAAGTTAATCCAATTCTAGTTGAGAAATGCTTATCTTTTTTGAGTAAAACAATTGATTATTATTTTAGTGTTGCTTTTAGTAACAAATGGATTTCTCCATAAAGTCAGAATATTAATATTTTGCCATTAATTATTGACAAGGAATACAAAAATACAATGTTTTATAGTCATATTCAATATTCAATGTATTTTTAAATAGTGTTCCATGTCGCAACCCAAAAAAGGAAACACAATGGTCGTAAAGGTGGTTGCAATCATTTTTATGTGATGCAAAGATAGTAGCAACCATCATCAAAAGTTGCAGCCGGTATCCTTATTTTTAAATGCTTCAGTTTGAGTGGTAAATTATACATTTTCTTTTTTGAAGTATATAGGAAACAATTTTTATTTATTTAAATGATTATTTATTTGTCTATAATTGATTAAAATAATTTATTTTAAACAAAAAGGCAACTGATCAGAGGAATTAAAATGATTACACAATAAAATATATGAATAAATGGTTAATTTAATTAGAGGAATTATTGTTATAGAATTATTGTTGTGTGGAAGATAATTGTTAAGGTTGAAATAATTATTTGTAGTAATCATTAAGCTTGTGTAATTTACATTTGACAAAAACCGCCTCCTGCCATTAATATTAATGTTGAATTTATGCTAATCACAAATATTGGGGTGTGTGACATTCCAAGAAAATCAAAACTAATTAATGTCATATTTGTAAATTTTTTTTAATGATCTGCATACCACTTATATAATTTCCGAAATTTGCAAGAAACATAATAAAATGTGCAGT